TGCCATACCACATCAGCACAGAGATATAATAGTCAATTCAAATACAATAGTAGAAGAGGTAGTAAAGGTATTGGAAGTAATCGGAGAGGTTAGGATTAGTAGATATTATTCAAGAAGTATGATTCAGTGAGATAAGTTTAGAAAGTCAGAACTAGAGGTGTTGAAGAATCCAGAAGATTAGAATTTGAGAGAGAATACAAAGAATAAATGCACCGGCGTCATTGCAAACGGTTTTGAGCCATGACATTCAAGGTCTCTAACCATCGATTACTATCATCTCGCGGACCACAACCAGGTAGTCGACAACTACTGACATGGCTAAGTCCACTCGTCAATGACTTCATGGATTTCTGCCATATTTTAGTTTGGCCACCCCTAGATTTCTTCCAACCTATTCCTACACTACAAAACAAAGCTCGTCGAGGCATACGCAACACACGTCCCAATCACCTCAACTGGTGAAGTGCCACTACTGCGTCTATTGATCTGCCATTCTTACCTAGCACCCGATTCCTAATAACAGCGTTGCTCACTCGGTTGTCCCAGGATATACCAGCGATGCTTCGAAGACACCTATGATCGAAAACAAGTAACCTACGAATATCTTTTACTCTCACTGGCCATGTTTCACAGCCATATAGTGGGACGGAGCGAACTACTGCGCAGTACACTCGTCCTTTAGTCAGCAAACGGATATCTCGCCTACGCCATAAGTGACGCAGGTCGGCAAAAGCCAATCGAGCCTTCTGTATCCGTGCTGAGATTTCGTCAGTCACGAGGCTATCGGCACTGATGAGACTCCCCAGATAAGTGAAGCGGTCTACACGCTCAACTACTTCACTCCCTATCACCAGTTCAGGTGCCGATGCAACCCAATCTTGAAGCAACATTTTGCATTTCGAGGGTGAGAACCGCATTCCGAACATGCTTTCATTGTTGCTTAGGGTGGTCAGAAGACTCTGCATTTTGTCGGCGTCTTCACCAAGTAGGACTATGTCATCGGCATATTCTAAGTCAATTGGCGAGCCACCTTATAGAAGGTCTACTCCTGAAAATTCAGACGAGGATAAGGTTATTTCTAGGAGCGTGTCTATGACAAAATTGAACAAGAATGGAGAAAGTGTACATCCCTGTCGGACACCACTTGAAGTGAAGAATTCCGGTGACAGTTCGCCATAAGCTCTCATCCGACCAGTGGTGTTCGAGTAGAGAGTTTGTATAAGGTTAATGTACTTCTCTGGTACACCTTTCAATGACAGACACTGCCACAGAACCTCACGGTCCACTGAGTCGAATGCCGCCTTAAGGACCAGAAAAACAACTATTGTAGGGCTTGAAATAGAATAAATTCATTTTACTTCATAAATTGTGCCTATCTTGCTTTGTTCAAGATGATGGCGAATGTTTAAAATCAAGCTATTACACGAATATCATCAGTCAAAAAAAAAATATCAAATAGTTAAATAATCATTATCTTACTTTCTATACGACACATATTAGCTCGTCCAGATGGTGCAACTGGTACTAAGAATGGACTTTCAGGAATTTCTTGTCCACCATATTTCACTCGTACAGTATGACGTCCAACAATCATTGGTGTATAATGACAAATATACGTTCCATCGCCAACATCCACTACTTCTAATTGTAATGGTTGACCATCAGGATCCTGAAAAAATTATCAATTTGATTAGATTGTCAGTAAAAAAGTGTTTGATTTATGAGTTCTTAGAATTCATGCAATTAAGTTTACATACTGACTACAACAACAACAACAGCGATAAAACTAACAATTAAGTTAACTGTGACAACATCAGAAAACACATGTGCTACAAACAACACTGAAAGTGATGTTTCTTTTTTTCGTTAAAGGTTTTTGTTCAAATAATGTAGATGAACTGAAAAAAAACGAATGTCAACTTAAAAATATTTATGGAAATAAAAAAGCATTGTTTGTTGTTTCACAGTTTTAATTTGATCCAGGGAAAATGCAGAAAATAAAAATCGAAACAACACAAGTCTGGTCATGTGTATATGTAAAATTTGTGATATGAAAACTGCTTACACAAAAAATTGGTTATGAAGAAGTACATTATAATTACTTTGATTGTTCGACTATGTTGATAGTAATAAGTTTAATTGTTGAGAGGTGTTTCTCTAAAAGAACAAAGTTTTAACTTACTTTGAAATTTGTTTATACAAACTCGAAATTCATTCACTGGTTATTGATTAAAAACGTAAGTCTGTAGTTCGTCAGTTGTTAAAGTTCAGTATAGGCTATCACATGAATGTCATCGCTTATTCGAAGAATGTAGATGTCAATTCCGAAAATCCAACCTTGAATTACAATTATTATCCTGGCTTTGTAACTTACTACAATACGAATACTTATCATGTAGTCACTGGTGACTGGTTTCGGGAAGAAATTTAGAGAGTTATACTGAGAATCCATGACCACTGGAATTTTAGCCGTGTCGAGTGTGAGATATTTATTATTGCAGGCAGTGGATGAGGGTTGCACAACATCATGAACCGGTCGTTAAATATTAACACTGTAGAATACTAGATCAGTGGTATAGAGGTCATACGTCCTCGCGTAATTTCGGAGATCTTGCGTTCCATCCAAGATCCTGAAAGCACATTGGTGAGAAGTTCGTAATGGTCGTCCAGTGCATTCAGGTTCTTAATGGTCGTGTAATTTTAATTCGTGATGTCAATAAATTGCAGGAATCTTTACAACCTTTTGCTGATTGCTACTAATCAATTTACAACCTACTGCTAGTAGTCTGAAACCTAAAGCTTTTGCTTCATGATTCCTTAGAATTAAGCATTTCATATCAATATATCGATATATGCCCAAAAACTGTCTATCTATTACTGTACAAGTGCATTAGACCATAACCATAATCCTGACCTCCCCATTCTATTTACCATGATTTGTCTTGACTTTCTGGGGAAAGGCATACACTATTTTTCGAAAGTGTATCTTTACTTATTGAAGGACAAGTATTTGCATTCATGAACGAGTAATTCATACATTCTTGATTCAGCTAGCCCATTGGAGATTTTAATTTATTCTTCCTTTTTACAGTTAATTAGCTATTTAGGCACGTACAATGAGAAGCATATATACTACTACTGATACTAAACTCGGACAACCTCACAACATAGTAATACTGAACATAACAGAAACTTTTAGATGATATAGAGCCCTGAGTACACTATTTCTTACGGGAAGCGAGATGCGGACTAATTAAAGATTTAGAATCCTTAAATTTGTTCACTATACACCATACTAGATAAACTATGAGCCACTAACATGAACGGTCTATAAATATCGTATTTCTTCAGAAGATATTCACCGTTCAAGTTCATCTACTCTGTAGAATCTGTTTGATAATAAAAATATTATTATTAGTTAATTGTGCAGAAAGTTTCGTGAAATCGGTGCTTTAATTATAATTTGTAAGAATTTCCACACTATGATTTTTGATTAGTAAATATCGACATGTACACTCCTTAAATGCGTATACTTTAAATGAGTCGGTATTAACTGTTATCAAGTAGTGCCTAATACAGACAGAGAGACAGGGGAAATAGGAAGGATTTGATTGTGACCAATTCGGTCTCGTGTGCTGTTGCGGGTATGAGGGCAGTTGTCACTTTCCGGCTGCCCACACCGTGGAAGGTTGTTTCTTGAGGAACCTGAAAAGGAAGGTAGATTAGTGTCGGTCTTAGAGACCTGGGAGCATAACCACAGAGCCCAAGGGACAACTGTTTGAGGCCTGTCTTGCACGGCCTTTTTATGAGAAGTATTTAAAGTGTTAGTTCCGCTCTTTTTAAAAGCCCTTATTGGGCAGCCCTTACCTTCGGAGGTGTAGCATTTTTAGGGTGGACTTTTCCTAACCCACTCCTCCCTCGTGAGAAGGAAGAATCACTGGAGATGCTGGTTGTTCGATGGAAACATCTTACTGCTGTCACATCTCTCTACAATCAGCAGTACGAATTCGCTTCCAGACCTTGAGTAGCTGTTTTCAGTCTCATCGTTCTCCAATCGACCTGCCTAGTAAGTTAAACCCACAGGAACATATGTTTCAGCCAATATAGCTCAGTTGCGTCATCTCGATAGACAAGCCACCACGTCAAGGTAGCAACTACGGTTAGGTAGCGCCTAACAGATCCACCATGATGTCACGTACCTGTGTGGTTGTGTCACATGATTGATCTCACAACTTGGACAGTAGTGTCTGGTAGTTATCCTGAAAAGCAATGTAAAATTTTCGAAAAAAGAATTCGCTTAAGTAGACAACGATCTGTGATTTGGAGAGTGTAAGTTATTGTATAACTAATTGTAGTTATGCCATAACTAACCAATCAGATTGTGGTTTAAGCGTTCACCACGTGATCTGACCTGACGTGTCTGTAAACCTTCTTTGTTGTAAATGACCTACAAATTGATTAACATTATTATCTTATTATATTGATGTGACTCATAACTTTGCTCATTTCCGTAAGACACTCTATATTGGTCGGTGCGTTTGGTCGTCTTACTTGATAATTGTAATCTCCTTATTTATTGTACTAATTTAATTGTTTTTATGTTTAGAAACAGATAAAGTTTAAAGCAAAAGTTGATCTCGTTCTAACTGTAGCTTCCGCATAGACTCTGTGCTCGCTAATATTGCGTTTATAGTTCTAGAAGTACATCTGTAAGACAAATTAAATCCTACAGAGAGATCGAAAATTAATTCCACTGTTAGTTGGGATATCAACACAGTTGAACAGTAAGTACTATATTTAGTTGACTATAATACCAAACAAACAGAAATGTCAGTCCTTTTTTTTGTTGTATTTATTTAAATGTTATTATTTATACAAGGTATAATCATTAACAAATATACTGTTTATGAAAAGAAAACCTGTAAACTTATTGATCTGTTTCAAACAGATTCAAAAAAAACAATTTTTTCTTTACATAGAAAATCTACACAATCGTGGAATAACATACACCACTCACATACAAGAAAGAAAGAAGTAAGTAAAAGAAATGTACCAAATATACTTGGATGTAATATGAATAAACTGGTAGCGTTTAGTGTCAGTGTCAGTGACATTGCAAATCAATTAAACTATCAGTGATTTCTAAATTAATCATCATCATCATCAATATCGAATATCCCTAAATTATTTGCGGAGAAAAACAAGTATACTTGGATAATTTGGGAAATAATTTTAACCAACTAATAATTTATAGGAAGGTAAATGATGTCAGCGAAATATATGGAATATATATATATATATAGGTAACATTATCTGTTGTTGTTGTGGTTGCTGCTATTTTTTTCTAAAATTAAAATTCTACGATAATGGCGGATGATGTTTGTCGGTGGTTTTGTGAATAGTCAAACCTGCTGTGACTGGTTCGATATCATTCTTTAAAAGAGTTATGACAATATATAGACAATAGTAAAAACAACAACAAAATTATGGCGATGATAAGGAAATTAGAAACATGAAATAATGAAACATTGCGATAGTGATGAGTAGACAGGACAACAGTAATGATAACAACAATATTGATTATTACCATTCGTTCAATAATGGTGGGGATAAATGCGATTATTTGGTCATAGGAATGGAAAATAAATTTTTGAAAAAAGAAAACTCAGTTAAATTCAAGCATTGATATGCCAGAATAAATAAAATTCCAGTTTAATTTTCAATTTAAAAATGAGATTGAACAATATGAAAAAAATATGAATGCCTATTTTGTTCAAATTTAAGACTTGTTATCAATGAGCATACATGACCCACATGGGATAAAGGTGAGAAATTTTCCAAGTGTCATTACAATCATGATACTCTTAACTTACTAAAGTAAATAATTTTTACCCTATTTATTTGATTATCAACTCCACAATCCACAATTTGTCGATTGAAGCGTCATTGTCTAAACGTAGTCGATTCACTTAAGACGAAACTAAATGATCCATACGTGAAAGAATTTTAAGTTTTCGCAATTTAGATTTAGTAAAACAATAAGTGGTTGATCAGTTAAATTGATGAAATGAAAAAATACATGACAAAGAATGCATAACTATTAATGAATCAAATCTTTAACGTCAACCTGCATGATAGTTAGATTTCATGGTTTAATTTGTAGAAAACTAGTTTTCAACTTAGAGCTACTGATTCACAGTTTGCTACAATTTAAATATTATTCCAACCTTAGTCATCAAAAATAAGTAAGCGAAAGCGAGTTTTTTTAAATGTAGCTGTTAAGTTGTTTGTTTTAGTGGTCCGAAGGTCAAGCATTCGCGTGCAAGACCAACAGTCCTGAGTTCGATTCCTGCCAGCATGGGTCGTGGGTGTGCACTGCTAAAGAGTCCCATACTAGGATAAATGAGGAGAGTTGGACATGGAGTTAGCGACCTCATCCCATAGAAAACTAACTAGCTTAAAAATAATGCTATTTCCCGGCTAAACATCCTCATATTTATCTATTTGACTGTTCATTTATATGATTTCAGGAGAAAGACTAATTAACAGTATTTTAATGAATGGAAGTTTCCACTCAGACATTTAGTAAATTGGCAAACTTTGATTTGCCATCTTTCATAATCACCCATGATACGAATAAGAGTAAAGCGAAGATATATATATATATATATATTTAATAAAAGCACCCTGATTAGATTTGTATCAAGGCTTTAGCTCATGTCTGATTTAACCTCCGTTTCAGTGAAAAGGTAAGTTTCTGAATCATGTTATACCAAAGACACGATTTGCTTACTACTGAAGTAGTAAACCAGTATGTTTTTTTCGCCACAGATCTGGTTGACTAACTTCAGAGGTTAGGCATTCGTGATAAAGACTGAAAGTCATGGTTTTGAATCCCGTGAAGTGCGAAAATAGTGAATGAGCACTGCTGCTGAGACCCATACCAGGACCAAACAGCCAACCAGTGCTTCCAGGTATGTAGTTGTGGTCTAACAATGGTTCATTAATGATCACCTTTAGTCTACATAACTCTTTTTATAAACTACTAGTAAACTTACCATTACTGATAATTCTAAATCTCCAAGACCTGCATCTCTTGTATCAACTTGAAAAGATGTTGGTTGTGTAGCTGGTAGTCCTAATGGACGAGTTGGATGAACTCCTTCACCTGTGACACGAACACGTTGTGGTTCAAAAGCTGGTAGAACATGTTGCATAAATGGTGATCGTGCTACATGATTACCAGCTTGTTTCACTTCAATTTGACATGGACCATCTGTGTCTGGAATGTATGTGACATCATACACGCCTGGTTGATTTGGTCGTGCAACAACATGGGCTGGTGTTGTACGTCCAACACGATCCACTGTTGCAACCTATAGGTGTATAAAGAATGAAAGAAAGAAGTTGGAAAAATGTCAGTGTTATTTAATCAATTTTTTTCAAGTGACCAATACAAACGAAGATTACAAGTGAGAAAACTATTAGGGGATGTATGTAGACTAATGTAGTGAAACTATAAATAACCCAATTTTTATAAGATATTCATTTTTATACCAACTACTATCAGAAAAATCTATAAATATATATTATTTTTTGTCTCAAGTACATCCGTTAAAGAATTTATGTGTATATTAAATATATAATTTCTATCTTTCAATACTGACTAATTTTACTATTTATACCTTGTGTATTATTATTGTCCAATGGTCTCTCAATACACACTGTCTGAGTTTCACTTATTGAATGAGAAATAATCTTAAAGCGTATTTTTGAATAGATTTTAATCAGAATTGGTTGGCAGATATTGATATAGCCCATAGTTAGTGGTTTTATTCTTCTTTAAAAAGTGATAAAAAGTGATTAGCTCCGTGAGGAATCTTTTCCGTGTTCTAATGGGAAGTCGTGTCCAGTGAAGTTCAACCTGTTCGGGTGTAGACATTAACTACCGAAGACTGTGTATATGAGGCTGCGCAAATCCGTGAATTGATCAAGTTAGATATAAACACCGTCAGATGCCGGCTCAGTGGTCCTGAGGTTAGGCGTTCGCGCACAATACCGAAGGTCCCGGGTTCGAATCCTGCAAGGTGCAGGAGTCGTGGATGAGTACCGCTGGTGGGTCCCGTACCAGGAAAAAACGGCCGTCCAGTGCTTCCTGGTTTCTAATAATGGTCTAACATTGATCGATTTAGGGGTTTGAAAAGGTGACATTTAAAAGGCGTAATTTATAAAAAGAGAAAGTTAGGTGAACTTTTGTGGTGGTGCTTCGTTCTCTGAGCTAGATGTTTTGGTTGTGAAGCTTTCATTGTTCTTCTTTTGAACAACATCATCAGCAAACATCGACACTGACTTAGTTTATCAAACAATCAGAAAAGTCATAGGCGACATATGATCACGAAACAAATCAAAATGGGGATACAATCAAAACAAAGGTGCAAACAACGATAGACTTAAGGTCAATAACAATCAAACAAGACCAAGGTTTAAAGGACAACCTACGGATCAAATGTAGAGGAGTTCGACTACTTCACTTCGATCTGAAGTTTGTGTTGCTGATGATGTTTTTCAGCAGAAGATCAATGAAAGCTCCATAACCGAAACAACATCCAGCTCAGAGGACGAAACACCAACCTACAATCATCCACCTGAGCTACAAATTTTCTCAATGCATGAGAGGTGAATCTGATATTGTCTAGGCATTTTGTAAACTAGGTTCTGCGTTTAGTGAAGATTCAATTTTTTTCCGGCTTTCTTAGAGTGACATGTTTGGAGTTGTTAGTACGGATCATCTGGACTTCCGATTTCCCGTTTGTTGAACAACAAAGCGCTACGAAACTCATGCTTTAAGACTTTACGATAACATGTATTATGTTAAGTGACAACAACTACAAAGCCAAAATTTGAAGCGTTCAGTCAATCGATCCAGTATTAAGTGAAGTATCTACACAGCAAGCAAATATTTTCTTTGGGAAAATTTATTGATAGAAAACCTGTTGAACCATTAGTTCGTTCGTTTGGCATGTATTCTACAAGCTTTATTTGTGCCGCCTACACAGAAATTAGCTGACAGTTTTTTTTCTCACAAGAATGTAGACAGAATGCTGTTCATGGTTTATTGATTACAATCTAAATGTAACAGGATTCTCTAATGTATGGTAAAATGTGCTTTTTAAATTAATTTTCATTGGTAGATATTATTTGGTTTTCTTTGTAGGGGCGTAATGTTTATGACAATTAAGTATTCATGCTATACTATATTTGGAATAGGTTTAAAAATTTACAATATTGAAAATGATGTTTATAGGCGAGAATTATTATTATCACTAATGTCGATAATTCTACTGTATGGAGCGGAAACTTGGAGAACTACGAAAGTCACCATCCACAAGATACAAGTGTTTATGAACAGTCGTTTACGCAAAATACTTCGGATTCGTTGGGCAGACATCATCAGCAACAGCCTACTGTAGGAGAGAACAAATGGAGGAGGAAATCAGGAAGAAGCGGGGGAAGTGGATAGGACATACAGTGCGGAAAGCACCCAACTGCGTCACAAGACAAACCCTCACTTGGAACCCTCGAGGTAAAAGGAAAAGAGGAAGGCCAAAGAACACATTATGCCGAGAAATAGAGAAAGATATGAGAAGAATGAACAAAAACTGAACAGCACCGGAAAGGGAGACTTAGGACAGAGTAGGGTGGAGAATACTGGTCGGTGGCCTATGCTCCATTGGGGGTAACAGGTGTAAGTAATTAAGTAAGTAATTGTCGACACTCATAGTTTATTTCCTGAGAAAAGCAATCTTAACGCTAAAGAGAAATCTGTAGTTTCATTTTTAAAGATTTGGATTTATGTTGTTGTTGAGTCTTAGCTAACAATGTTAGAAAAGGTCGACCCTAAAAATGTCACACCTCACCCTACCTCGCGGATTTCCTTCTCCGGCGGTAAGGGTGCCCACTGAGGGCTTTCAAGAGCGGAGCTAATACTCAAAAAACCTTTAATAAAATGGCCGTGCGTGACCAGCCTCAAGCAGTTGTTCCCTGGGCTCTGAAGTCACGCAACCAGGTTTCTAAGACCAACGCTAATCTCTGAACCTACAGGATGACTCATAAGACTTTGGTAAACAAGCAATCCCTTTTCTGTAAAAACAAACCCGCGTTATTTAATTTTTAAAAATAAAGAGTGCCGTGGCTACCACTTCGTGTTCTCCGTTGGTGTGAAGTGCTCAGCTAACCTTGGGTGTGTGTGGTGATTTTAGATCTTATCTGCCCTTCAGTGACTGCTCTGATTACACGTGATCATTTAAGGGGTCAGAGAATAATTACATATCTGTTAGAATTCTATAGAAAGAGAAAACTAGATCAATAAAGAATCTATTTTCTGTTCTTTTAATCAGGATCCGAGTCATTTATTAACTTGGACACTCTTCAATATTTTCAGGCAGAGCTATGGAGGTTTGTGATTTTACACATGTGAAATCATCAATCAATCATTGTTAGACTACCATTAGAAACATGGAAGCACTGGACAGCCGTTTCTGCCTGGTATGGGACTCATTAGCAGTGCGCATCCACGACTCCTGCACCTAGCAGGATTCGAGCCCGGGACCTTCGGTATTGTGTGCGAACGCCTAACCATCGGACCACTCTTCAGTATATCAAAAGTCTTCGATATAATAAAGCAAACATTTACTTCCGAACAATTTTGTAAATTGATTACCCTGCTTCCATTCTATTTCATCTTTTTCCAATTGCATGGAATTGTGACTATTTTTACAACATTTAACTGGTAAAATTATTTTAGAAACCTTAACAGGTTAAGCTATCGTGAATTTTTCACTGAGTAATAAGTTAAGTTACACAAAACAGTACTTCATTTGTAATAACCGTACCTAAAGAACAAGAATCGAGTGCAAAGAAATCAATCGGTTTAAATTAGCTTGTGAAAAAGATATTGGATATTGGAAATACTTACTTGAATAGGCGCATCTCCAGCTTGTGAAGCATCAACAGTAAATTGAGCTGGTTGTTGTGCTCGAGCACCTCTAGGTTCTAAACCTGGACCGTAACAACGTACACGAGTTGGATCAACCACATCTCGTATTGGAACTTGAAATGGACTACCTATTTGGAAAGTAAAATAAATGAACTTTTTATTACATTTTTAAAATCAAGATGCTTAAAACGGATAGAAAAAAAAGATAATTGGTCTGATTATTTTTATTTCCTGTTTTAGCTACTTGTGTAACACATATTAGCCTCTAAATAGTAAAGCTTGGTTAAATAATATACTAACAAAGACAAATGTGTGAGGTCGCGCAAAATCCCTAGATCAATCAGAGTTAGACATTAACACCGTTGGATACCGGCCCAGTGGTCCAATGGTTAGGTGTTCACGCACAATACCGAAGGTCCGGGGTTCGAATCCTGCGAGGAGCAGGAGTCTTGGATGCGCACTGCTGAGGAGTCCCATACCAGGACGAAACGGCCGTCTTCCAGTGCTTCCAGGTTTATAATGGTGGTCTAACAATGATTGATTGATGATTTCAAATGTGTAAAAACACAAACCTCCGGAACTCTGCCCTAAATAATATACACAAAAACCTTGAATGATATGAACTCTTATTTTATTATCAACATCTTCTATAAATACTCTCTAATAGTTGGCTAGTTTATACGAGAATGACTATCGATACGAATAATTGAATTAAAATGAGAACACAGAGAAAAAAAGACATCTGGTGAGGATCAACTTTATTGATAAGCTCCTTTGAGAAGAAAATATAAATCTCGAAGTTATTAGTAATTTTGTCAACCATTCAAAGGCTAATAGTTTTCCATTACACATTTCCTAGCCAGTCAGTCAGTCAGTTACAACGTAGAGCTTCGTATGTACGTACATAAGTTCAGGTTGCCATACCACATTAGCACAAAGACGCAATTGTCAATTCTTATCTCATAGTAGTAGAGGTAGTAGAAGTATTAGCAGTAATCCGAGGGATTAGGGTTTGAAGAAATGATTCAAAAAGTTCACTTGTCAGTGACTTCATCAATTTATGCCATGTTTGTTTGGACGCGCCTAGCTTTCATCCAACCTACTCCTACCCTACGAAACATAGCTCGTCGACGCAGTTGGTGGTTGGGCATACGTAACACATGCCTCAACCAATTTTGCGATCCCTGCCTGGTACTTGTTTCCTAACGACATCTCTTTGTTGGGATATTCATTCAATATCCTTAGAGAATTATTGATCGATTCCTACTGGTCAATTTTATGGTCGTCCTAGATATCAATGTCACGTGCTTCAATGCTGTTTCTTATAGGTCGTTCTGACCATCAGTGTCACTTCAAACGTTTTTTTCCTATTGTTCGCCTTAACCGGCAATGTCACAGACTTCGATGATGTTTCCTATTCGACCCAAATGTATATATACGCATTATCTCTAACGGTTTACGACCCGGACTCGGATCCCTATTCCGGGATCCTGATTCTATTCTGGACTCGGACCTCGTACTTTCTGGATGCGTGTAGAATACAGGTTCTACTGCATATCAAGTCTTCTTCTTTTATTCAATGGGGGTTGAGACAATCGGATTAGAGTAGCATGTCATGAGGCCGGATCCTCGATCCTCGCTCTGACTAAGGTAAACTCGTAATAGTTCAAGCATATCAAAATGACATGTTTACGTCCATGCGTAACACTCTGGAACCAATCGTTAAGTGGTTTGTTGTAACTTTTAAATATGTCATTTGTTTGTGATCATCTAATGAAGTTCCCATTCAATAGAATTCTATAAGTGATCAACGATTAATTTGTGTGTAAAACTTATGACAACTAGTATATCTGTACAGGTTGAGTTTCAGTTTGAGTAAAATGTAATTATATCAATGGCTATACTCCAATGGATTGCAATTTGAATAAAGCCTACAGAAAAAAGCCTAGGGATAAGCGTAGTGATCACAAAAACCAAGAAAGGTCTTCTTATGTTTTGAATACAACTGGAGGATTTTATTATTGATGCCAAGATTCCATTTATAGATGTTATTATTTTGAAATGAGAGTGAAGCTAATGTATTATAGGATAGATACAAGGGATTGTATATTAGTTCTTCTGACGCATTAGGGTTTGCTGTTAGTCGGAGCTTAATATATAAACAGTAATCTATGATGTATCATTATCTAGAGTCTTCCACTTGTCATTTGATTGTGTACTTAGACAAAACATATTACGATCAGCTGTTGATGGGATTGGAAGATAATTAACGTTAGTGAATTGGCTGCGCATGTAGATGCAACCACATGTTAAACATAGCCAGACCTGAGATCAGCTAATATTTTTTGGGCATTGACTGTACTTAAAAGGTATCATCGGTAAGCGAAACAAACTTAATTCCGACCATGCGAAACGTGAAACACACATAAACATTGATTTTAATTCAAATTAAAATCACATTTATAAGTAGTCATGTCATAACAATTCAACTTGCCTGGAATATTCCTGTCATTAAATTTAACAAAAATGTCATATGTTCCTGCCCGTGTTGGTAAGTAGTCCACTGTACATGTTCCATCCTTATTATCTTGACATTGTATTTGAGCGTCAGCAGGACCTTCTAAAGCTAATCCAAGAGCACCTTGACCTGCACCATCTAAGTCAACTGTGAATCTTTGCATTTCATGAGTAAGTCCACCTTCTAAACCTGGACCGTAAGCTCTCACTCTTGTTGGATCACATCCAGGAGCAACATTAACTGGGAATGGACTACCAGGTACCGGAGCTCCATCATAAGTAACTTCAACGTGATGTAAGCCTGTAAAAAGTTAAGATAAAAAGAAAATGACTGTTCGAATTTTGCTTGGTTTTAAGACGTTTTGGCATACATGAGTCTTGGTTTTTCCTTAATGATTAAGAAAATTCCCTGTCAAATATTTTTGTGAACATTGGAAAATTCAAAACAGTGGTTCCCTTTGATAAATTTGAACAGAGAAATGAGAAGACATATTTGGTGAGATAGTACCATTTCGTGCTTTCTCGTCAGTCACATACAGGCAACATGTTATTCGTGTAAATACAGTTTTGAAGATAAGGTCAAAATTTCTTATTTAGCATGACATTCAATCACTAGAAGAACCATGGTAAACTAAGGTAAACATACAGTTGTTTTTGAACACATAAAGTTGGACTTTTCCGACCAATCAAGATAGCTTTGAGTAGTTTCAGTGTGTGTGGTACATTGGATTTCAAGCTTATTACTGAGACACTGAAATTAAACGGATATCCCGAAACGTTTATTGGTCATCAGAACGCAACTACGACGAAACTGATAGCACCTGATGTGGCCAAGAAACCAGTGTACCTACAGTTACCTTTCAAGGGTGATCATTGCATGAAAATTACAACCAAACAGACTGCAGCTGCAATAAAAAAGACCTTCAATGCAGCTAATCTGAGGCTTATCACAACAACTCAATCGATCTCAGTTACCCCAATCAAGTCTACAAGACCGATTCAGTCTAAATCCCACTGTATTTACCAATTCACATGTAACTGCGGAGAAAGTTACTTAGGTAGGACAGATCGCCGATTGGAGGACAGGATAGGGGAACATATTCCAAAATGGCTAATCAAATCCATGATTCATCTACCTAGCACGTCATCTCAAGATCAATCAAGAAACCCAGCCTCGTCCATTGCAAAACATCTAATGATGAGTGGTCATCAAATTGACCCAAAATCAGCCTTTATAGAGTTGTGACATGTCATCACAACACACACACACACACTCAAACTACTCGAAGCTATCTTGATTGGTCGAAAAGTCCAACTTTATGTGTTCAAAAACAACTGTATGTTGACCTTTGTTTACCATGGTTCTAGTGAGTGAGTGAATGTCATGCTAAATAAGAAATTTTGACCGTATCTTCAAAACTGTATTTACACAAATAACATGTTGCTTGTATGTGACCGACGAGAAAGCACGAAATGGTACTACTATCTCACACAAAATATGTCTTCTCATTTCTCTGATCAAACATTGGAAAATTCAGTAAGCATCAGGTCAAAATATTTATTCATTCTTTTTAAGCCTTAACTTTCGCCAGTGATATTTCAACCAAAACCAAGATTTTCTGATATTTTGAAGGCTTGTAGAGAATAGGTTGGAGTCCATATTATTTACTAGGAGATAATCATCCACGACGCCCACACGTGTGGATTGAACGTAGAACATTCGATCTCATGCGCGAACGATCAACCTCTAGACCAATGACTCAGCATCCAGTTGCGTTATTGCCTAAATGACAGCCATCCACTACTTCCAGGTTTCCAATCGTGATCCAACACATTAATCGATTCAATCGATTTCAATAAAATTACACACATATTTTGAATTTATCAAAATTTACTTACCATCATCTATTGGTGAATAACTACATTTATAAGTTCCATCACCATTGTTTTGTATTAAACATGCTGTTCTTTGTTTATTCGGACTAACAACAATCGCTTTGACTATACCTCTACCTTGTGGATCAACTGTTTTAGCATCAACTGTGAATTTAGCAAATGATTCTTTGAAAACACCTTTAAAATCAAAATATTCATAAAAATTAGTTAAAATAACAATTTACGAAAACAAATTGTTAAGCAAGCATGATTTATAATTTCAAATATACATGCTGTTTAGGTTTCATTTAATTGCCTTAGAGTCATGCAACATCAACATTAAATCTATGGATACAAAAGCTTAATTAAAGAGAAATTTACTGGATCAAATCATGCGAACAAATTAAATTATTGTTTCAATCAATTAAATTTTCAATTTTAAAGAAATTTTTTATATCATGCAAATTAGTAAGTAGTATATGTGTAGGCATTCCTATTGATTTTTATCCTACCAGTAGGTTGTAATCCAGGACCGTAGGCATGAACTCGAGATATATCAATATGTTCTCTACCAAGTGGAGCTACTCTAACAGGGAATGGACTTCCTTTAATATGTGTATCTTTATATAAAACATTGACAACATATGGTCCAGGTTCAGTTGGTAAATAATCTACACCACATGTTCCATCTCCGTTATCATTGTAATTGATTTTAGCTTCAGCAGGTCCTTCAATTGTAACACTTAGTGGAGCAGGTGGAGCATCTTGACTGTCAATGGTAAATTTCGCTTGTTTCCCGGCTGTTGCACGATAAAGTCCATCACCATATGCACGAACTAAACCGGCTGCTTCAGGTCCAGACATTGGTGCTGAACTAGCTTGTTGACGTGCAAAATCTTTTGGATAAATAGGTTCTTGTAATGTAGCCGGTGGAATAGCATTTGTACGAAATGGACTACCTTTAACTGGTACACCTCCAACTTCTACAGCAACAGTATGTGGTCCAACAACAGTCGGTGTAAACGAAGGTGTATAACCATCAACACTTTCAGCTAAAGTACATGGTACACGCATACCATTCGGAGATTTCACTGTTACAGTTGGTTTTGGTTTACTATTATTTGGTGGACCTGCACCAGCAGTGATGACATCAAACTCAGTCGGCACACCAGTAGTGATATCTAATTTATGAGAAAAATATATATTACTGTTTAGAAATCTCGTGAACTATCAGTAGTCATTAAACCGGATAACCTGACTATGTAAATGTATATTTCAGTCAGTAATCAGATTACATGTAACGATAATGTTGATTTACTAATGTTATAACCATAAAATAAGATCTATGTGATATTATTTGAGGAAACTCTCAGAGATTGTTGAATTTCTCAGCCAACATCATTGACTGATTTTGGTTAAGTTTCTTACAAACCAGCCATTCAACGAACAGGATTTTAGGCTTACTATGAAGCCACTCAGCTGGACGCATGAATGACCACACTGGGGATAGATCGCAAGACTTTGGAGTATATGCTCAATTTCTAGACCACTGAGCCAGCATCTAATGGTGTACATGTGTCTAACTGAAATCGATTCGCAATAATGAGTAACCATCTTCTGTTGTATGCGATGAATAACTATGAAAATTATAGGGTGGACTAAAATCTTGACGGAGAGCATTTTGTGCTTATATTCTTTTAATCTCAGAAATTCACTTGACCTTAAAGATTTTTCTACCTTGAGATCATGAATGAATCATAGTTAGACTAACATTAGAAACTTGGAAGCACTAGACGACAGCTTTGTTCTCGTATGACATCGCGCATCCATGACTTCTGCTGTACGCAGGATTCAAACCAGGACCTTCGGCCTCACTCGCGAAAGTTTAACCTTAGGACCACCGAGCTGGCATCCGATGGAGTTAAAGTCGAACTCTGATCAATCTAAGGATGGTAGTCTAACCATGATTCATTCATGATTTTGACGTAAAACAACAATCACCATAGCACTAATACGTAAAACCAAAGATTTTTCTCTCTGATACACTAACAAATCTAGTTTCTCTATATTTTACTGAATTGTTCTAAATTCAATGTGATACGGATATTTATTTAAAAAATGCTGGGAATCACTGT